GTTTGCGACCAGCATGGATCCAGACCAGCCTGCGCATCCGCGCAGTCTGATCAGGATCCATGCTGTTCGCTATCAGTTTCTCTACTTGTTATAGGGTTTGTAAGCGAACAGCATGGATCCTGATCAGACTGCGCGGATGCGCAGGCTGGTCTGGATCCATGCTGGTAGCAAACCCATTATGTTGGTTTTGTCATGACATGGGTCATATTATACAGGTTTTACTGTAATAAATACTGTCCTTTCTGAACACCTTATAGGACAGAAATGATTATAATATACTGGTTCAAACTGGATTCTTATCCTCTCATTCTAATAATAGTCCAGATATTGTTGGGAAAATTGGTCAATAAACTGTAGTAGATTAAAATAAGGCAATTGAACGTGGTATACATGAAAGTTTAAGGTCATGGTTGTTTTGAGTAGATTGTTTTTCAAAGTAAATAAATTTGCTATTATAATGTTCCAAATGTTAAACAGTAATTTTTGTCAGATTTTCAGTTTGGATGACAGTGACATATGGGCAATTATCGGTTCAATTTGAGGTCCTTACATGAAATCCCTACAGGCCAGGGCATTAACCTGGTTTAAATTTTTAGAAAAACAACCTCTAATTCAACCGATTGGAGCCACAAATTATCATCCTGAATTTTTAGTGACGATATGCATGAGTCAATATTGAAGCAATTTTTTTTTATATAGTAACTCCAGTTTGATTGCAGTCATACATTAACTTATATCACAGATTTGCTTCTAAGTCTATACAGTGTAGATTGCATATTATAATTTATGTTGTGGTGAAGTTTTCTGTTATAAAATCTGTACTACTGAGGTTATCTGTCTATGATCAAAACACGTTAGATTTTAACAACAAACAAAATTCTGTCTCAAACTTTTGTTATGTATGTAAGAAAAGGTATTAAAGTATTATCAAGGAAAAACAACAAAATTTTAGAGCAGATTTTAACTAGCTTTCCTGCTTATATAGTTTTTTAAGGACGTAAAGCTTTATTTTCTAAAATATATTTTAGAACACAATTTTTTTATGGTTTTAAATCATAAATTATGATGCTTAAATTAAGATTTATCAATATTGTAGGTTCCAAAAAGCATTATTTATAAAGATATTACTGAGTGATTTTAACATTTCATGTAAATAAAGGGAGGTACTAAAAAAGTTATTTTCTATAAAGTTTAAGTAAGAAATGAATGCATATATTTTAATGATTACATAATTATAATATGCACAAATATTTGCAGTTCATATTTTACATATTCTTCGGTGTTTGAAAACAGTTTTATTTGCATAATTATGTACATGTATATAATTTCACTTAGTGTAGTTTACCACTTTAATAACAACATACAGGATCTTATATTATTTCTGCAATCTGAAAAAACTGTTGTAGCATAGATTTTCCCTGTTATTTAACACACAATAATTTGTAATATTGTATGTGTTCCAAAACAAAATATTATGCTGTTATTATCCCCCGCCGAAAATTTTCGGCGGAGGATATAGAAATAGTCTCCGTCCGTCCGTCCGACCTTCCGTCCGTCCGTCCTTCCGTCCGACATTTTTGTCCGGAGCATATCTCTAAAAGTATTTGAGTTATCAACTTGAAACTTCATAGGTGGATAGACCTCATTGAGGAGAAGTGCAGTGCACAAGAATGATAACTCTACCTTGCATGATTTTTGAGTTATTGCCCTTTGTTATTTTTCAAAATTGATTTTTGTCCAGAGCATAACTCCAAAAGCCTATGAGATATTAACATGAAACTTCATAGGTGCATAGATCTCACTCAGGAGGTGTGCAGTGCACAAGAATGATAACTCTACCTTTCATAATTTTTGAGTTATTGCCCTTTGTTATTTTTCATACCTAATTTTTCACCTGAGTGGAGCATAACTCAAAAAGTGTTTGAGTTATCAACATGAAATGTCATAGGTGGATAGATCTTATTGAGGAGGAATGTTGTGCGCAAGAATGATAACTCTTCCCTATACAATTTTTTGAGTTATTGCCCTTTGTTTTTTTTCATGCTATTTTGTCCAGAGCTTATCTCAAAAAGTATTTGAGGTATCAACTTGAAACTTCAAAAGGTGGATGGATCTCATTGAGGAGGAGTGCAGTGCTTAAGAATGATAACTCTACCTGCATTTTTTTTGAGTTATTGCCCTTTGTTATTTTTCAAAATTAATTTTTGTCCAGAGCATAACTCAAAAAGCCTTTGAGATATCAAAATGAAACTTCATAGGTGCATAGATCTCACTCAGGAGGTGTGCACTGCACAAGAATGATAACTCTACCTTTTATAATTTTTGAGTTATTGCCCTTTGTTATTTTTCATACTTAATTTTTCAATTCAATTTTTTTCTCAAAAAGTATTTGAGGTATCAATTTGAAACTTCATAGGTGGATAGATTTTACTGAGGAGGGATGCAGCACACAAGAATGATAACCTACCCTGCATTATTTTTCAGTTATTGCCCTTTGTTATTTTCAGCCATCAGTATTCACATAGGTTTCAAATCTGTAATCACTATAGCCATCAGTTTTCATTACCAAAAGACCTCTTAAAATGGAATTATTCTGCTCTACTACATATACATTCTTCCGATGAGCAAACACATTCGGCGGGGGATGGCCATGTTGACATGGCTCTTGTTTTAAGTAGGGTTTGAACTGTTTAGCAATGATTTTGTGCATGAGTCAATTAATCTTTTTCTTTAAATATATTCATGGATACCTTCCTACTTTTGACCTTTCAAGTTAATATAAGCTAGGAAAAGAATTGACTTTATTTGTGTAATCAAATGTGAATACTCTCAAGTGCTTGCAGTGCTTTGGTTATTATTTTTATGTACCTAAAATTATCAATAAAATAAGCAAACATAAAATAAGATGTCTAATTATATTGTAAAGTTATATCACAAAATATAATGCACAATTCATTGTAAACAGAACAAAACTGTTTATTAAATTAAATCCTATATTAATAGGCCAAAACAGGCTACTTTTAAACATTTATATTGCAGACTGTGGCATGCTTAAGAAGTTGGGCATTGGGGTGTTGGGTGTTAGTTTTTGATTAGGCTGTCCATCTATATCTTTTCTGTTAAAATAATACCTCAAAAAAGATGTAGTGGTGTCATTTTTTGTCAGTATTTTGTTTAAAGGAATTCCACTAAGGTCTGAAACCCTAAAAACACAAAAATTTAATTTCTTGCATAGACCAGCTGGGGAATTTAAAAAGATATTTAAACTGTTATGTAGAAATATATAGAAATATACTAAGAAATAAATTGAAAATTGTATTTTTTGTGTTATTCTTAGCTTGATTTGAATTTTGGATCATTAAAGTCATTCTTGAAAATCAGAGTGAGCAAATGATCTGAAATTTTGCACACAAGCTACTTGTCTAGACCTACATCAAATGAAATATTTATCTCAAAAAATTATTTCCAGTCCTATCATGTCAAAAAACCTCAGTTGAGTACCTTTAACTTTTTTGTGAAATTTAAAAAATGGAAAGTGTTTGTAAACTTAACATCCAGTGATAAAAATCTGTAATGTGATGGGGAAGATATAAAATTTATTCAAATTTTGTTATTGAGTTCTCCTGTTAAATGTATCTTTAGATTAAATGTAAATTTGCATATATTGAGGCTTGAAGGGAGAAATCTGTTATAATTTTGCACAACCTTGACCAATATTTTGTAATGTAAACATGCATTATAAACAGCGGGAGTGCATAGTAAATGATATGGTAGATATTAGTCACTGATCTTTACATATGCATTAAATGCAGACGTTTCCTGTCGAGTGGAAAAGCAACAACATTCATCTGCAAATTTCTTAAAATATAGGTCCTAATGTATTGTTGTTATATTTTCATGGTTTTTGATTTAGTTACTTTTCATCAGATTTGACGATATGGTTAGGTTGTTTATACCTATATTTGAAACTGAAAATGCACATAAACACTATGACATGTATTGTGCTTTATTGATATTAAAATTTAAAGAACACTTTTTCCTAATTTTACTTCTTCAATAAAATTGTTGTAAATAATTATGTTGATACATAGGATTTTCAGCAATTTTAAGTTAAAAAAATTTCTTTTGCCAAGTTAAATATCTGTTAAATATTTTCCGCTTGTGGCTGAGGTGTTGCTCAGAATTGCAACCACCGTTTATCCAAGCTTGATCTTAGAAGCGACTAAATGGATTCGAATTACTGGAATTCATTGAATCTCTTAGCTCCAGGAGGTGAGGTGGTTTTGACCCCTGGTGTTGCTTTAAGTTTGTGACACTCGAGATTAGCAAAAATCATCTTTCCTGTTTTGGCACCATATAACCTGAATTGTGTTGGTGCGCTTGAATAACAAACAAAGAAAAATGTTAAATATTTACAAATAAATTGTTGGATGTTTAATTTCATGACTCACGGAAACAAGTGACTTCCATTTATTACTTAATTACACAGATCAGGTTAGAGGTCCGGTCTGAAACCCTAGTTACTATTAGTCTGTCAAAAGTCACTGTCTTGTTCTCCATTAATATTTTGAAACTTGACATTCAAATTCAAGACAACCTTCTTGTAAATGAAACTAATTCACTTACTTAACTCATTCATCAAGTGCCACTTTCTTTTACCCACTACAAAGTTAATGGTTAATTACCTTAGCCATTTCCTTAGTTATCTGTTGTATCTGATTAACAACAATTTTGTGAACCATGCATCATTCTATAAAAAAAATTAAGAACAAGAAAAATTGTACTAAAAGGTAACTGACATTAATTTGTATTTTTCCCATCTCAATATAATGTTCGGTTACTATACATTATGTTACCATGATATTCTGTTTATTTTCCTTATCAAATTGATATAGAAAATGGTCTGCATTTTATATATTATATTTTTTTTGTATATATTTATATACCGGTTTATATAAGTAGAAGATATGCTACTACAAGTTGATAATCTTATCTTCCAGTGGGTCACTGTAATTCCGCAGTGGTTGAGGCCGGGTACAAGCAGATGAAAGTGTTGAACACGAACAGTCGCTACCTTCACGACAACATTGTACGACTTGCCGAGAAAATTACCTCAACATTACCGGATAAATTAAATGTTGTTTACATGTGTAATTCTGGGTACGTATGATTATAGTATGATAATAATAATCTTTGGCCAGGGTTAGTATTTCAGCTTCATAAATAAATAAGCTATAGAATGGCAATTTTAAAACTAGAGATTTCTGGTTTTATATCCAGTAATTAAAATAAATATTTATACCGATTAAATATTAATAGCAACAGTGCCTTTATTGCTGACCATTGACAGAGGAATCTGATTTATTATCTGAAGATATGATACCTTTCAAGTTTATCATATTTATGTAGGAAGTTATAACATGTTTTGTTTCTATTTCTTGGCTAAGCATATAAATTATGTAAACTTGTTGAATATATAAACCTGGAGAAAAGCAAAGAAAACACACCAAAAAATTGGTATTTGTTTAGATACATTTGATAACAGATAAAAAAAAACAGCAGCAAACAATGTGCAATATATAGAAAGAAATAAAAAAAGTAGATCTAATGTTATATTGTAAATGTCAAAACTTTCAGATCTGAAGCAAATGATTTAGCTTTGAGACTTGCCAGACATTACACAAAGGCAAAGGAAATTATCACTATGGATCAGTATGTATTGATTTATTGATATGATACTATTGTCTATTTTATATTCATATTATACATGTATGTAGTGAGAACCAGCTGCTGATATGTTATATAAAGTGGTGAAGATGGAAATGAATTATGAATGGCATTCTGTAAATCAGATAAAATCGTGAAAATCTTTTTTTGTAGTTTCCCTGTGCGACTTGTCTTTAGTTGTTTTTGAAAAGGTATATATTTTGTGTCCAGCCCATAACTACTGAATTTAATGTCTGCATGCATGGTGAGATTTCAAAATGACTTGATTAACATGATTACACTAAAGTAATTTTTTGTTTGCAAGACCCTTGTCTTTAGTTCAAAGTTCAAGGATAGAGCAGGGATTGAACTTGGTACATTTTATGTTTGCAATATAGTCTTTAGTGCTATTGGACTTGCTTTTAATAGTCTGAGACAGACTAATTCAGCCACAGTGTTGAATTGCCAACCAGCTAGCTTATGGAACATCAGTGGTTCTACTCATGTATCCAGTTGTGCCTGAAATAAAGCATGGAAGGGCAACTGAGGTCTTTCTCCATCAGTAAAGCTGGTCACCATTTGACCTATACTGAGTTGGTGCAATGTAAAATCCATTTCTTAAAAAAAAATCACCTTAGACTTTACTTTGGTGTATCAAAATAAATGCATTTCAAAAGGGCAGGTGATCTCATTACATTTTTTTTGCTCAGTTTTGCCCCTTTTTCACATAGAACTTCTTAATTTTCCTGAAAATAATGTTTTTGTTTTGCCAACTTACAGCCAATCTTGCGAGATCCATTACTAATGACCATTATTAGATGTTTTTGTTGTAACTATCTTTTATTTCAGATGCAAAATTTCAGCTACCATGTCACATTACCTCCATGAAACAGTCAGCGCATACAAGCGAAAGTGCAGACGACGGTTTTCATAAGCCTCATATTTATGTGGTAATTCTTACATCTTTATTTTTATTTAACACCATTTAAGGTTTTATAAAATTCATGAATTGAGGAAAGATAAAATTTAGTGGTAAAGAATAGTAATAACACAATACACTTACTTGTAAACAGTATAAAAATGTCATGCAGCCTATAACTCAAGAATTTTGAAAACTATCAGTATGAAACTTGGTAAGTTGGCATGCTTGTTTATCATGACAAGGTGCAGTGCTAAGTCAAGAAGTTTTATTCTGAAAGCTATATATTTTGTTCTAAGCTAATGTCTGAAACATCTTATTGAGAAATTAATTTATGTTGTTGCACTTCACAGACTAGCGATGGTACAGCATGAAGTGCTCTTGGTTGAAACATTTTTTAAACTGCTTAACTTCATATTGATTTCATGTACAAACAAACCGCCTCCGTGGTCGAGGGGTTAGAGACGATGACTTCTAGTCCAGTAACCTCTCTGGCGTGGGTTCGATTCCTGGGAGAAGCTTTGGTAATTTAGTAAGATAGTCTAGTACTGGTGTAACTCTCTCTAGGAACGATGGTTAGGAAACTACCCGCCTATATGACTGATTTTATGTTGGGAAAAGGCATAAAATGAAACAAACAAACAAACAAATATGTACAAAGAAAACAAATCTGTGCTATAGATATAGAAACTACCCATATTTTTTTATACGCCGTTTGAAAAACGGGACGTATTATGGGAACGCCCCTGGCGGGCGGGCGGGCGGGCGGTCGGGCGGCGTCCAATTTTGTCCGGAGCATATCTCCTACATGTATGGAGGGATTTTAATGAAACTTCATATAAAATGTTCACCACTATGAGGAGCAGTGTCACGCACATGAACCAGGTCTCTAGGTCAAAGGTCAAGGTCACACTTAGAGCTCATTGAAAAATGCTTGTCCGGAGCAAAACTTCCACATGTATAGAGGGATTTCAATATTACTTGGCACAAATGTTCACCATTGTGAGGCGGAGTGTCGCGTGCAGATTCAGGTCCTTGCGGCCAAGGTCAAGGTCACACTTAGAGGTCAAAGTTCAGATAAAAATATGAAGATGTGTATATGGACCATTTAGTCATCATTTATTGAGGGATTGTAACACAAATGGTCATTATCAAGACTATGGCTGTGATACATATAATTTAGGTCAATATATACAAGGTCAAGGTCACTAAAGATGATGAAATATCCAGATTTTGTAAATAGAATTTAATCAAAGGGAGACAACAAAGTTATTACTTTGTTCATAAATGACTTACACAATTACTCCCCTTGATCTATTTTCTAAAAATAGAATTTAATCAAAGGGCATGAAATAATCCTCTTTCTTGGACTTGAGTATGTTCTAAAGAATGTAACATTTATTTACACATGTTTCATTCATTGGTCAAAGATACTTAACTGTGATAACTATGGTGTTCTGTAGACTTGGTATTTGTTCATAAAGATCATACAGTAATTACCTTATCAAATGTAAATACTTTCTCATAGAAATTTAATTATATTTTAAATTTTCAAGTAAATAATTCAGTTCAGCTCATTCAAAGATTAAGAATTGTAATGAAATGTATTTCCCTAGAATAAAATCTTAAATCAGAATTTTTTTAGTTATTAAATTACATGTACTTTTTATACGCCCGTTTAAAAAAAGATAAAAATATTGAAGATGTGTATAGGGGACGATTTAATCATCATTTATTGAGTGATTGTAACACAAATGGTCATTATAATGACTACGGCTGTGACACATGTACTTTAGGTCAATATATGCAAAGTCAAGGTCACTAAAGATGGTGAAATATCCAGATTTTGTCTGGAGCATATCTCCTACATGTATGGGAAGAATTTTTATAATACTTTATGGAAATGCTCACCACCATGATATGTATTGCTCCATGCATGATCCAGGTCTCCAGGTCAAAGGTCAAGGTCACACTTAGAGCTCATTGAAAAACGTTTGTCCGGAGCAAAACTTCTACATTCATAGGGGGTTTTCAATATAACTTGGCACAAATGTTTTTCATTGTGAGGCTGAGTGTCGCATGCAAAATTCAGATCCCTGCGACCAAAGTCAAGGTTACACATAGAGGTCAAAGTTCAGAATAAAAAATTTGAAGATGGTATATAGGGACCATTTAGTCATCATTTATTGATGGATTGTAGCACAAAAGTGGTAACTATCATGACTACAGGTGTTACACATTTAATTTAGGTTAATATTTGCAAGGTCAAGGTCACTGGAGATGAATTAAAATATCCAGATGTTGTCCGGAGCATATTTTCTACATGCATGGAGGAATTTTAATGTACTTTTATAGAATTGTTCACCACCATGAGACGTAGTGCCCTGCACATAAATCAATTCTCTAGGTCAAAGATGAAGGTCACAGTTAGAGCTCATAGAAAAACACTTGTCTGGAGCAAAACTTCTACATGCATAGAGGGATTTCAATATAATTTGGCACAAATGTTCATCATTGTGAGGCTGAGTGCCGTGCATAAAATTCAGGTCCCTGCGACCAAGGTCAAAGGTCACACATTCTGTGCATATCTTCCCTATTGATTTGTTTTAAGGTTCATTTAACAACACAGTGCCAAGAATAAAAACTTGCTTGCTAGATAACACTTATCCATAATGCCCCCATCTCCATCTAAAGCTTTTTCGTAAACGGGCGTATTTTGTGACTATGGCACCCTTGTTTTTTTTTTGAGAGAGAGAATTTTAGGACAAAATACTGAAATATATAGCAGCACCCAATTGTATAAACGTTGGTTAACTTTAACCACTGGGTTAAATCCATGGTTAGGTTAACTTTTGGGTTAAACTTTGGTTAACCGATTGTATAAAATTTTGGTTAAATTTAACCAACGTATAGGAGGTGGGTTAAATTTTAACCAAACATTAACCAGAAATAAAATGGCTGCCGTTTGTACGCTTCGTCTCAACTTTTGTTCATTTTTGCTTCGAAATAGACTATTATCGGTTGTATATGATGGCAACGATATTTTTATAAGTTGCGTAGTGACGGGAAACGGAAACAAACTTTTCCAGAGCCGGAAATAAACAGTTTAATAAATCAGCTGTCAGTGTCGGATAATTCGGATAAATCATGATACAAAATATCATTTTAAACCGATTAAATGAAGATCATACTGAGGATAGACTTGAAGGACAATTTATGAGTTAAATTACGAAGTCATTCTGGACCAGTACGCAGCGGGAGATCCCTGCAAAGACAAACATGAGGCTGTATACTTTGTGATTGATCAGTAAATTTTGTTTCGATCAACACATATGTGTGCGTTTTCGTGTAATTGTCAATAACAACATGAAACTATTCAAGGTTTACAGACTGACAGGATATATCACCTTAGAGAATCCTCTTGCTGAACTTATCATTATGATTATGATGAAGGTATGATAATGCATTAACTTTTTGTGACACTATCAGTTGACAAACAGTTTGCATGACTTTTTTGTGTTTTGTTGCATTTTGTGATGAAAGTTGGCAAAACAAAGTAGGAAGTCATATAAAAGAGTATATTTTGTTCATTCCATATTTCATGCATTGCTTCCGCTTTTTAAAGAATTGTTATTCCTAAACCAAAAAAGTCGAGATTGCTCTGTTGTCAGGCCTTGACATCTAAATTTTCTTGTTGTCATGTCGCCAGCGAAACAAGCCAATTGGCAGGTTGTCTCGCAGTGTGTGGCCTGTTGACACATTATGGCTTGACTCAAATGGAAATTTTAGTTTATTAGGGCTTAAATCTGTGTCACAGGGTGAGAAAAAGTGTGCAGCCTGACCGGGACTCGAACCCGGGACCCTCAGAATACCATTCCGCAGCTCTACCGACTGAGCTATCCGGCCGCTTACACATCTTCTCCCCTATTAAGTGAACAGTTCTGAACCGTTACATACTCCCCTGCTATATTGTAATTCGTCCTCGAATTTCACATTGTTACAGAGCAATGTGAATTAAACTCTGAGCTATATGCAGACACAGTCACCAGTTGGGGCGCCAAATGTCAAAGGGTGAGAAAAATGTGCAGCCTGACCAGGACTCGAACCCAGGACCCTCGGGAATACCGTTCCGCGGCTTTACCGACTGAGCTATCCTGCCTTTACACATTTTCTCCCATAATTAGTGAACAGTTCTGAACCATGACATCTGCTTTGTTGCTGGCGACAACAACTCGAGCCATGCGATAGCACAATAAGACGCCATTCCCTTGATATAAGCCTAGAGACATGGGGACAACGTGCCACAGTCTGGCACGTTTTTGTAGCGCCAAGGAAAAAAGGCGATAAAAACGACAACGCAACATGCAAAAGTGTAACATATCAGCAACCATACAAAATGACTAGAAAGAGGTCAAAAAATATGCAAAAAATTCCTTTTTGCGTAAGTAATACAGTAGAAATATGGTGATAAATACTGAAAAATTATCAATTGTTCACAACTGTTATAAAAAAAATTACTTTAAACTTGAATTTTGACTTTTCTTAAAATCTTAGTACAATGTACATTTTTAAGCTAATGTCCTTAAAATATTTTGGCTCATCTTCGTCTGTAAAATTAGTCGAAAAAATCAAAATGTTTATTAAATAGTTTCCAAAAAGAATATTGATGATACATTGATAATTATCTTAGCTCTATCAAAACCAAATACTGTAATACATATAATCATGCTTATTTTTTCCAATCTTTAAAAAAAATTCCTAATCAAACTGAAATTTGGAAATATCCAAAGCAATTAAGTTAGTTATTAATTAAAGTTCATTCCAGTATCATTACAGACATATGTGTTTGTGTGTGCATGTGTGTGTTGTTTTTTGTTTTTTTTGGTAGAGTACAATACATTTTTTTCTATAAATTAGGAAGATTTCCCTGTTGAAAAAACTTTTCCTAATTTGATCAGCAAAATTTCCAGAAATGATGACCTAGGCAATTTGTCTTCTCATCAAAGGTTGATAAAGGGCTTGTTTATTTCTAGCAGCAGGGAAGAATAAACAATGTCATCTTCTGATGAAAATTAAACTGTTTTTTTTTTACTTAGTTCTTTAAGAAAGTTACAAGCTTTATGATCATGAATTCACACACAAGTATATAACATAAAGTTATTTTATCAACCTTAATAACTTTCAACTTGTAAAATGTCCCCAAATAGCCTCATTTTTTTCCAAATAAAAGGTCTTTTTTCCAAATTAACTAAATTTAGGCATACACACTGACACAATCATCAGAATTTAACTGGACAACAAGATATTTGTTCTCACTTATGAATTATTGAAAAGATTGTTTTTACTTTTCTAAGGATAGGAAGCTGCTTTAGGTTCTGATTTTATGGTGCTCAATAAGTAGTACTGAATGGGAAAAAGGCAATTCTTAACATTAATTATTTTCATTCTATATGTACCGGTACTCAAACAGAAATACATTTTGTTTTTACAAATTTCATGTCCAATTCTTTTATTATTTAATATTTGAATTAAACTGCTTTGACTTTAAAAATACTTCTTCTTTATATAATGTAAACAATGAAAGTAAATATTTATGATTGAACTCAGATGAATGAAAGCATTATTGAGTATATTTAGCATTATACCTTGTAAATGGCCATGTGGAGATATTATTCAATATCTCATCCCCATTGCTACTCTTGATATTCTTAGAGGGAGAGAGGGGGTTAATAAATAAGCAATAAATAGAGGGGAGGGAGAGAGAGATTTAGACCAATATTTCCATTGTTAAATGAGGGATGTATTTTTATTTATAAATAATTTATTCAGACTTTCAATGTAGATGAGAATATTTTACAAAATAAATAATTTAACAATATTATAGAATTCTAGAAAACATATTTGGACACTTTTTAATTTTCAACCAGATATAGACTACATGTATGCACTTATTAAAGTATATATAGGCTAACTTATTGTTTATGGGTAACAGTCATTATACTATTCATTACATTATGTACATATATTGAAACCCTGGTTTACCTACTTCAATGACATATAATAAATATAAACATATATAAGCATTTTGTTGTTGACCAACTTGTTTTATTTACTTTATAGAAAAAAAAATGGATGAGGGGTGAAGTGTCTTACTGATTTTGGGGGGTGAAGTGTCTTAAGGGGTGAAGTGTCTTCCCGAAATTTTAGGGGTGAAGTGTCTGGGGAGGGGGGGGGGGTTAAGATGTCTTGCTACCTGACACATAGCCTATCTTCTAAAGCTTTGGACTAGTATAATGTTGGCCAGCCTCACTGACAGGTTCCAATCATTCATTTATAAGTGTTTTTAAGTATTTTTTACTAACAAGATACATGTATAAGACATACAATTTATTATATAAGATGTAAGAATTCCTAAACATAATATTGTTAGGTATTAAACAAAAATAATACAAAATTGAAGTAGAGGTAATTAAAAATCATTTTTGATTGTTTCATGAATTAATTATGGTAAATTTAAGATGACTATGTTTTCTTTTTCATAATTATGATCATTTAGTTTTTTCTCTGTTTAGTAAATTTACTGCTGGGAAACCAAGTTGATTTTGCATTTCAGTGCTGTGACTAGTGAGAATTATAAAACATGTTGAATGTTTTAAAATAAAGGATTGTCAGTCATACAGTCACAAGAAAGCAAAAGTGATTTTGTTTTCATTAATGTATATTTCATGTTGTTTTTTTTTTTGTTGTTTAGAGGTTAATAAGCAAAACTTAGACCTTATATTTCTATTATTTGTATTTTGCTATAATATGGTAAACTTTCAGTAAAGGTTCTTCTATATCTAGAAACATAGGCTTTGGAAAAATGCAACAAGATTCCCAAAGGTGACTGATTATTGATATTAAGTTACTTGAACAGAAGTTTCATATATTATATAGAGGAAACTACCACGAGAGTAGTTTGGGGCAAAAACATTCAAAAATTACATCTGATGTTACACAAAATATTTTTTGGGTTTTTCGAACGTTTTAGTTACGAATCTGATAGGAAAATCATATGCGTTCTAATTACTTCTGCATCGAGTGGTTCTTGTATGAAATTATTAACATTCTTAACCATTTTCTGTCCCAGGTTGACTGATGATTTTGATATTTTGCTCATTTGCAGTAAATTTTTAATTTTGTAAACAAAGCCCATAGCAAACCCATGCAGGTCTCACTAATTACCGACAAGAACCGTCAGTAGAAATGAAAAATTAGCGAATTTATTTCACTACTTCGTCATTTTTATAATCACAATTCCTAATATTTTACATGAAAAACATAATAAATTCGTTCTTGAACCATGTTTATAGGCAAATATCTAAAGCGACAATATTCGTGGTATAAATTTAAATTTAAATTCCCGGTGACATCAGTCCGAGGTCAAAACAAGTTCATCCTACGTAAAATTACATTTTGTACATTTGTTTAATGATGATATGTAATTAGTGTGGTAACAATTAACATCTTAATTTGAAAAAATTTGAACCGATTTTAACTCTAACGTATCAAAAGATTTTCGATTTGTAATAAAAATGGAAGCGTAAAAGGGGTGTGTTAATTTTGACATATTCCGCGAAAATAAACATAACCGGATATAGAATTAATTGCATTTCGGGATTAGTTTTGGTTAGTTTTAACAGCGGTTAATTTTTAACCATTTTGGTTAGTTAACCTTTAGGTTATCCTCGGTTTATACAAGTGACTAAAACCGAAATTGGTTAGTTTAACCAAAGTTGGTTAAAGTTTTAAAACCCAGGGTTACGCGTTTAACCCCAGGGTTAATTTAACCAACGTTTATACAATTGGAGGTTCTGGATGACAAATAATTGATTCTGATCAGACTGCAGGAAAGGGTGAAATTTCAGATTTCCATTTGAAATTTCTGGCATTGGTTTAACTAACAGTAAAACACCTGGTCTGATATTAACAAGAATAAACACTCCACAATAACGCTTGATACTCAAGGAGTTATTGTATTTTTATAGGACACGTTGTCCAGACACCTATAGAGGTGTATATGCTGACATGTGATTACCAGGGGAAGATCTTGGGAGAAATATGCAAATGAGGTTGGTGACATATGTAAGGTCATTCAGTCTAGAGGAAAACACGTATGTGCCTTCATAGCAGAATCTATGCAAAGTTGTGGTGGTCAGATAGTGTTCCCACCTGGATATCTGCAGAAAGTTTACAGGTAGGTCAAAGGTTAAGTCAGCTTTTAGTATTTTAAATTATATTGGCCAAATGAATCAAACACTAGTTTTATTTGTTTTGTTTGTTGGTTTTTTGTTGTTGTTATTTTTGCCCAACAAAATGTAAGGAGTTTACAGTTTTAAAAATGGTTCTTACAGATGAGATTGTGAAAGAGATAACATTCTATTAATTTATGCAGAGATGTTGTTATCTATGCCTCTGATTCATGATTAAAAAAATTTTATACCACCTAATTTAGTAATGCCAATTAATGACTTTAGTTTAGTCTTTATAATTTTTAGTAGATTTATCTTTTAAAAACACTTATTGAAAAATGTAAAAAGCTAATAATATTGTTTTAAAAAAATTGTCCACTTTTATAGCAAATTTATTTAAAAAAGTTTTTTAAGTAAACATAAAAAATCCCCAAGTTTGAAATTTGTTTGATAAGGCTGAAAATTCATAAGTATTCTCAGGTCATCATTTCGGGAAAATTTTTAAATTTAAATAAAAACATTTTACCATCAGAAAATACTAATACTTACAGAAAAATAAAGAAAATGAACTTAAAAATTTACCATAACAAAAATGTAAATTCAGTTATAATTTGGGGTTGAATATAAAAGTCTAATTCCTAAGTTGCAATAAATGTTATCTTTGAATGGTAGCTATTAAGAATGTTAAAATATGTGGATAATATATAAGCTGATTTCGCTAAAGTTTTACCTTTTCTGTTAAAAATGGCACATAAACCAATTTTTGGTTTTTTACCATTACCATATTTGGCTACATAAGTTTTGGTTTTCAAGACCTGCCAGACATTAAATTATTTTTTTCCAAAAATTGAAACCTTCTTTTACTTGTTACAATGTTAGGTCAACCAGTTTTGAATTGGATTTATTGAACTTTTGTATTGTAAAAAAATCTACAGTCAAACCCTGCAGGGAATAGATAAGCATTCTTATAATTTTGCTCTACTTTCACAAGTGGATTCTTGGTAAGTTATACAATCAAAATGAATGTTACTTATTAAGAGATATTTAAGCAAAAAGGGCAGGGGTCCCTATTCATTGAGTACTTATCAGTCTCCACTCATATTACATGTGTATTATCTTAGAGACAGAAAAAATAAGTTTTTGTTTTGATATCCTGTCCAATATTACAATAATATAAATAATTACTGAGGAATAACAGATGATAAATACAAAGGGCCTACAAGATTACAGACATTTCAAGTTAAAATAGATCATAGCTAGTGTATGCTCATTTGTTTTTCCTATTAATATTCTTGGTACATCAAATTTCCTCTTTGGTACATGTACAGGAATAACTGAACAAAAGATTCTTGGTACACAAAATTTCCTCTTTGGTACATGTACAAGGAATAACTGAACAAAAGATCTTGGTAACACTAATTTCCATTTTGGTATATATACAGAAATAACTGAAAAAAAAGATTCTTGGTACACAAATTTTCCATTTTGGCACATGTACCGGAATAACTGAACAAAGATTCTTGGTACGCAAATTTCCATTTTGGTACATGTACAGGAAAATACTGAACAAAAATCTTGGTAC